TCATTGACCATTCTTGATGTAAGGCATGGATGCCATTGGACCAAATACCCCAAAAGTTTCAACTGGGCATATATTAGTCTTTATGATTATTGATTCTTTTACAAAGTGGGTAGAAGTTACATCATGTGCTAGCGTGACCTAGATAATGATGTGCAAGTTTTTAAAGAAAAAAATAATATGTCGATATGGACTTTTAAAAAGGATTACTTTTGATAATGCTTGAAATTTGAACAACAAAATGATGAATGAGGTTTGTGTTCAGTTCAAAATCAAGCATCATAATTCAACATCATATTGTCCAAAGATGAATGGGGCAGTAAAAGCTACAAATAAAAACATTAAAAAGATTTTGGAAAAGACAATTGACATTTATAAAGATTAACATGAGAAGTTACCTTTTGCTTTACGTGCTTACAAAACATCAATCTACACTTCTACCAGAGTCATCCTATTCTAATTGGTTTATGGGATGGAAACTATGCTGCCAATTGAGGTAGAAATCTCATGTTTCAGAATTTTAATGGAGATTAAGTTACAATAAACAAAATGGATCCAAAGTCACTAGAGCAATTAGACCTCATTGAAAAGAAAAAGTTTACAACAATTTGCTATAGTTAGTTATACCAAAAAAAAATTAGGTGAGCACATGATAAATGGTTCGTCCTCATCAATTGTTAGAAGGGAAGTTAGTTCTAAAAAGGATTTTCCAAAATTAGCATAATAATCAAGGAAAGTAGACACCAAATTGGAAAAGACCATATGTTGCGAAAAAAGCTTTTCTTAGGGCATTGACTTTGACATAAATGGATGGAAATGGTTTGCCCAACCTAATAAATTCAAATGCTGTAAAAAAGTACTTAGCTTAAAAAACTAAAAAAAAAAAGGATAATTCAAATTGAAAACCCAAAAGGGCAGTCTGAGTTGAACAGGGTATATTTAAGCTGAAAATCCAAGAATGCAGCTTAGATATGAAGAAAAATACAGCATCATGTGAAGATCTCTTAGTAGAAGGGCAATTATGGTTTAATAAATTCAAAAAAATCAAGAACATTGATTGGATGAGTAACTTTTTTTTTAAGTTTCTATATATAGGGGTAATGTAGTAGCATAAAATAGCTTAATAATCAACTAGATTTCAAAAAGAACTTGTATGAGAGTAGCACAAAATTTTCTTTTTACATAAGTTATAAAAGAGACTCAAATAACCATAACATCTAACTTTTTTGCAAGAAAAGCTTATAAATGAGAGTGATGCAAGGCTACAAATATTGATTTTCTTTTTGAAATATTTTATATTTGATAGAGACAAAAATAATGCAAGGCCACAAAACATTTATAGGAAGAACTTTGTACATAAACTAAATAAAATAGTAAGATTTAAGATGTTTAACTCTCTTTAAGAAGATTTTTTTTTTTTTAGGAAAATTTTCAAGTTTAGAATTAACTATTCTTTCAAATTTGTATCATCATATGTATGCACTATACATTTTTGCTCCACTATATTCCAAAGAGTTTTAAGCATTTCATATACAGATTGTTTTCGTAACAAGGTGAACTTCTTAGCATATAAAAAATATGTGATATAATAATATGTATATATAGTACTCGTGAGCTTTTTCAACTTTGATGTTCAAAAAGACTTAATAATATTAACATTGCATTGTAATTGTAATACCTCAACTTATGAAGTAGGCAAGGAGTATAATAGTAATACTAATATAATTGTGTGTGAGGCCAAAGAAAACTCTCTGCTTTATATTGTGGAGATAACTTTTCAACCCAATACAAAGGAGATGTTCAATCCAAATAAAAGTGATGAAGCTGCGACCAAAAAGTTTCAAAATGATTTACATCATAGTACTTAAGAGATTGAGCCAAGAAATAAACTATAAAGCTATGACTAATAACCGTATTTTCAATTTATAAGAGAGATAATTCTCAACTTCGTATCAAAGGAGATAATTTAATAACAGGTATAAACAATAAAGTTATGGCCAAAAAATTAGTGATATTGCTGTAGCCAAAAAACAATTTTCAATTGGGAGATAATTCTTAACTTGGTGCTAAAAAAGTTCATTTGATAGCAAGCATTAACAATAAAGTAGCGATCAAAGAATGAGTGATAAGACTCAACCAAGGAGTGATTCCTAATTTCATATTAGGGAGGTGAATTCTCAACCCAAAAAAAAAAAAGATCAAACTTCACTATGTATTAAATAGATAATTTTTTCTCAACTTATACCAAGGAGATTAATTTTATTCAAAGTAGGAAAGTGTTAAATTACGGCCAATAAAAATGGATTTAACACAACGATTATATCAACTTTGTATCTCAATTTGATTTTGAAGATTAATCTTATGTACAATTAAAGATAACTCTTAACAAAGTTTAGGGTAATGATTTTTTTCTTAAAGTTATAGAAAGACAAACATTTTCATCACTTTTGCAATATTTGATAAAGGAGTATGCAATAGAATAGACATTTGTTGGAATAATGCAAGGTTTTCATTTTTTTCTCGTTAAGTTTTTTTCTTCAATTGATTGAAATTTTTAAATGTGTATGCAGTCAATAATAATAGTAAAGAAATACATAGATAGCTGAAAATAATAAAAGGTAGAGATTAAATATTTGTAATTGATTAAACTTCTAATATGAAAGAGTAAATGTTCTAACCAGATTGTTGCTCCACCATTGAATATTCTTATGGCATTAGAATTTTTCGTAGTTGGCAAAGTTGTTCATGTCGTTTGGTAGTGCAAATGCCTCCAGTAAAGTTTTACTTAATGCAAGTGCTCTTCCCCAGTGAAGTTGCCAAAATGTACAAAGATTTTTTGTTAAGGGGAAAAAAAACATTTTAAACAAGTAAAATAGGATATGCCAAGAGAGGATAGAGAGGAAGATTGGAGTAGACCCTAAAATATTGAGTGTAGCGGCATGTGGTGGTAGGTGGTGAAGCAAAATTGAGCAGAGAAGATAATGAGACTGAGAAAAGAATTTAAGAAGAAAAAATTACATAAAGAATTGAGTAAGTTTACCAAAAGTCTCCAAAAGTCCTCAATAAATTGTGAAAACTCTTATTTATAGCTTTTAAGAATAGGAATTATATATTTTGAACATTAAATAGTAACAATGATGAGATTGACAGTTATAAAAAGTGTTAATGTATTAAATATAAATAATGGTGAATAATGATTGAATTGGCTATTACAAAAGGTGTTAATGTATTGGTTAATGAGAGTTTAATTAGCTTTTGGTGATAAGCATAGTGAACATAGAAATTCACTATCTATTCTAAAAAAAAGGAAAAAGCATTCATATTTCAGGTAAGGTTAAGAGGAAATCTTTTAACTATCTCCATATCTAATCCATCAAGCCAAGCTCTTTAGAACATCCTAATAGTGAAATTAACCTAAAATCCTATCATATTCCAGAGTTATTTTCACTTCTTTTTTCAGTGAAGTAACATTTGGTGAAGCATCTTTTGTAAAAACAACTATTAATGAAGCAATTTTTGGTGAAAAAGTTTTCGATAAAGGAGTTGCTGTTGTTTTTAAGAAAGTTGTTCTAAGGACAGCTGTTTCATGAATGTGTTATTCCATGAAAGAGTTGTTTCTTAAATAGTTATTTCGTAAATAACTATTCTATGAAAAAGTTGTTCCATGAATAGCTATTCCTTAAAATAACCTTCATTAGAACAACCTTATCACCTATTCTGACTTATCCTCAATTTTATCAACTTTAAAGAAATTTTAAAAAAATAAAATATTAATAACCAAAATCAAGTATCTACAAAATAAAGAATTAATTATTAATTCATTTTTTGCATCCTTATAATGAATATTTTATGAATATGAAAAAGCTGTTAGCAACAACAGATTTAGAGGCAAAAAGGATAAGTTTCTCGTTAATGGTAGAAATTAGAGTTAGACTCATTATACCACTAAGAACTTTGCTGGTAAGGTAACTACAAAACTAACAATCCTTACCGGTAAAAATGGTACCAAGTTGAATTTCTACAACTTAGCCAACATTAAATAAATGAAGTTCACCATTTAATGCAAAGATAAGTATAGTATCCAATACACAAAGTTTGATTGTAAGAGCCAATAAGAAGTTTTGTTCTGTTTATTTTATTTATCCATCACCAAAAAAAAAAAAAAAGAATGATTCCATTCTATTTATGCTAAATTACAAACATCAACTTGGGGAAAACTTTTGCTAACCAATATATTAAGCTCATATTTGGTACATAAGTTAATAGATAGGATAATATGATAATTATTTTATATTATGTTTGATTTGTATCTAATTGAAAGAAATATGATTATAAGGAGGATTATCATTCTCTTAGTATATGATGATTCAATCATTCCAAAGTGAAGAGAATTATTTTTAATCTATGGTATTAAATTTATATGTTCTTTTATACGCTTAAAAATTATATAAATAATTTAAATTGTATAAATTTTGATAAGGATAATTTTGATCAATAAATAAATTATCCTATCTTAATCTTTATACATATCAAACATAAGATAAAATGATATTATTTAATCTAATTTTATTTATAATATTATATTATCTTATCCTATCATAATTTTATATACTAAATATGACCTAAACAGTTTGGCTAATATAAGCTCAAACTTAATTCAATTTGTTTATGTAATAATTTTTAAGATGTGGTATTTAAAAGATTTAAATTTTAAATTTCAACATTTACAATGCATTCTTTATAATCATGTTTGGTACATAGGATAATTGATAAGATAAAATAGAATGATAATCATTTTATATTATGTTTGATTTGTATTTAAAAAAAAAAAAGATTACAAAGAGATTAATCATCTTCTTAATATAGATAATTCAATCCTCCTATAATGGAGAAGATTATTTTTAATTTATAAAATTAAACTTACATGCTATATTATACTCTTAAAAATTATATTAATAATTTAAATTGTACAAATTTTTAAAAATGATAATTTTAACAAATAAATAGATTATCTTATTTTAATTCTTGCATATATCAAACGCAAGATAAAATGACATTATTTAATTTAATTTTATTTATAATATCATTTTGTCTTATCTTATCATATTATTATATATCAAACACATCCTATATTCCTTAAATATAAAAATATATATATTTGATGAATATTGTAATAATCATACTATAACTACTTTGTACGAAAATATAAACACACACATATATATATATATATATTTGGCGAATATTATACCTAATTAATGCTTATAAGCTATTTAAATATTTCACATGATCTCACCCCTGTTAAAGAAAGACAAGACCATAAACAAAACAATACCAACATTCTTATGAAGGGAGAACATTTACCAACTAATTGGAAATTCACGTTGAAATTTGATTCAACAGCTCAACAACTTGATTCATGGCAGGCCTTTCTTTGGATACCTCATTAGTACACATACATGCAATTCGGAAATACTCCTTCACCTCATCTTCAATTAAGCCTTTCCTTGGAATCTTTTGATATACCATTTCTATCTGTCGATTTTGGGCCATCATTTTTCTAGCCCACTCAACCAGTCCGACGTCTTTCCCTTCGAACCTCACCGGCCAATTGGGCCGGTTTTGTGTGGCAATCTCGATCATCAATATTCCGAAACTGTAAACATCCGCCATAACTGTGGCTGCAGTGTTCCCTTCCCGGTACTCCGGTGGCATGTAACCCATTGTCCCGGCTACTTGAGTGGACACGTGTGAATGGGCTTCCTGGACTTGTCGAGCGAGCCCAAAATCAGAAATATGGGCCTCGAAATCGTCATCCAACAAGACATTGCTAGCCTTGATATCTCTATGGATAATGGGCGTACCAAGGCCATGTAAATACGCCAGCCCATTTGCTATCCCACTGACTATTTTCCTCCTCGTATCCCAACATAAGGGTAACCGGCCAACCGAGTTTTCCTGTTCCTCATCGTACAACCACATATCCAAACTCCCTCTCTCAATAAACTCATAAATCAGAACCCGATCAAGACCCGACGAGCAAAACCCCAGAATCTTAACGATGTTTTTGTGGCGAAGCTTACCTAGGGTTTCCATCTCAGCTCGAAACTCTCGGAGCCCCTGAAAAGCATTCGGGTCGAGCTTTTTAAGAGCGACGGTGACTCCGCTAGAGAGAGTAGCTTTGTAAACGTAGCCGAAGCTTCCGTCGCCGATGATGAGGTCGGAGGAGAAGTTCTTTGTGGCGGCGGCGAGTTCCGCCATGTCGAGACGGTTGAGAGAAGGGTCGAAGGCGGCGCTGTCGCATGTCGTGAGGTCGGGTGGGTTAGGGGCGGTCCGGGTTCCGGTTAAGGATCGGGTTTGAGGAGGGTTTGGGCGGGTGGTTTTTTTGGTTGATTTGCAGATTAAGATAATGAAAGATAAGATTAAAGATACTAAAAAGAAGCTTATAATCGCTGCTATTACTGCTTGAGGACTTCGATCCATTAAGGAAAAAGAAAAATCAGATGAGAAGAAGAAGAGAAGAGGGAGGAGCAGCCATGCCCATGAGACAGAGAGAGAAAAGGAAGCAAATGGGAAATGGGGTGAGCCTTTGTTTTTCAATGTTGCGAGAGGGGAAAGGTCGATGTTAGCCGAGTCGTGGAAAGAACGAGTCAACGGAACAGAGGGGTAGGATACAGTGTGTTGTTAGGAGAAGAAAAATGGCCGTTCAGTTTTTTTTTTGGGCCTTTTTGGGTCCCATTTTCGCCGTGAATTAGGTGTTTATTAGAATTTTTGGTGAAAATTAGTCAAAACAAAAATACTTCTTGTGATCAGATATTTCTGACTGGGAAATTATTGTTGACTTCATTGAGATGTGTATTGTAAAGTATGCATTCATTTTACGTTTTAAGAAAAAATTCAAGTTACATATATATATATACGAGTTAGATGTAAAATATGTACACTTTTTTATTTATATATAAAACATATAGAGGTGGCATCTTTCTTTCTTCATTTTCTATTTTTTATTTTTTTGTTTATTTTTAAAATTTTTTATTTAGTTTTTTATTTTTGTTATAATAATTTTGGGATCGTCAGACGTAATGGATTTTAAAATCGAAAAAAATAAAAGGGAATAGTCGTCATCAATCTTTATTAAGGTTTGATTAGTCATCCAAAAGTTTATTTTTTTAATAAAACTATAAAAATGGGTTTAAAATTTATTAAAAAGATAAATTTTGATCTACAAAAAATTAGGTTGGGTCCGAGAGTTGGTTACATGTGGAGAAAGATTAGTACCCTCATAATGCCTATAAATTGGTACCATTTAATTATGCGTTATTTTTTGTGTTGAATAAAAATGATTTTGACTTGAATTTAATACTAATTCTTTTCGTTTTAAAAATTATTTTTGCTAAAGTTTTTATTTAGAAATATTAAGAAAATCTTTAAATTAAAAAATTATCTTAAAATTTTTTAACATCTAAGCAGAATTTAAAATAACTTTTTTCGCTTAAGATTTAACATAATAATCCTTAAAATGAAATAACACTCTTTATAGAAAATTGTTGGTGACTCTTCAACATCTAGGCAGAGTGTTAAAAATTATTTCTTTCGGAATGTTATTTTTATTTTTATTTTATTTTATAATATCAAAAAAAATTTTAAAATGTATTATTCTTTTTTATTATAAAATATTTTATTACCAAGTAGTAAATAAAAATTAAAGACAGAATAATACAAATAATCTCTAATAATAACATGCTAATGTATGTATGTCAATGAATATTATGTAGGATAAGATGTAATTTTAAAGTTGGATTCTTAAGTATAATGAGATCACCCCGACTCTCTAACATCTAGACAGAGCTTAAATGTGACTGTTTATATTTAAGAGCTCAATTTACTATTATACTTTTTATTCATTAATCTTATTATTAAAGCAAATTAAGAACTCGTATGAAAAACTTAATGAAATAAAGTTTTCTAAATATCCCATCATCTAGGCAGCATTCGAGAACAAATAATTTTAAATGGGATTCTCACACGTATCTTTAGGATTTTCAGAAGGTTTTGAGTAAGGGTTTGAGTAGAAGTTTTGAAGGTTTGGTTTTAAGGTTTAGAGGATTTTAAGGCTTGAATTTTAGGATATGAAAGGTTTAGGATTTTGATTTAAAGGTTTGGATTTTAGGGGTTTCGAATTTTATGGGGTTAGATTTAAGGGATTTTGGATTTTTAGGATTACTGTTTAAGGTTTCGTTTTTAAGAAAATAAGAACATCTCTAAAAATTCTCAACATCTAAGAGGATTTTCGGAGCAAATTTGATTTTAATGATTTTTGAAAATTAATTAAAAAAATTCTTATATACTTCTTTTTATAAAAATTTATTAATAATAACTCCCTAACATCTAGGCAAAATTATTTTTTTAGAAAATTTTTTTATTCCCTCCAACATCTAAGCAAGAAAAATAATAATAATAATTCTATTATTATTATTATTATTAAGCATTTTTAATATATATATATATATTAATCATTATCTTACTTATTTTCATTTTTATTATTATTAAAATAATTAAAAAACTTATCCTAACAAATTTAAAACTTATCATGCATAAATGTATTAAAAAAATACTTAAAATAACAAAAATAATAATATATAAAAAAATTCAAAAATTCAAAAAAAAAATTTTTTACCTAAACCGGACCGATCAACGGTGGTTCGGTTCGGTGTGCGATTCGGTTAAGCCGGCTGAGGTGTGATTCAGGCCAATTTAATGAGCGGTTAGGTCCGGTCTGATCAAATCGATTTAGGGCGATTGAAAAACCAGGTTGACGGGTTGGTTGCGAGGACCCTGGGTCAGGTCTGGGTCCACGCGCGGATCTTCCCTTGCCCAATACGACGTTGTTTTGGCCTTTAGGCCTTTTATATATAATGAAAAAAAAATTTTTGTTCATTATTTTTTTGTTTCAGAAAAAAAAGGGGAGAGCTCCAGAGCTCTCGCCGTCCGATCGTCGGACTGCCGTGCCGGCCGTCGACGGTGGTCGTCGTCGGTAATCATCGGTGACCAAAAAATTAGTGAAATTCACTGCAATGCTCCTCTTGACCTCTTGAGTTCAGATCAGAGGTCCTTTTCGGGAGAACAAGCCCTGATCGACGTAGATCGGGGTTTGAACTTTTTTGAGTTTTCTGTTTCTTTTTTTTTTTTGTAAAATGAAGATTGATATGATTTTTTTGTTTTTACAAGGAGCTTCGGCGTTGAGGTTCCTCCCTACGGGGAGGACTGTTTGTTTGTTTTTTTATTTTTTTTGGTAGTATTTTTTTGCAGCATCACTCCCTCTCATTTTTTCCCTTTTTACAGTTCGACTATGAGCTCTATTTATAGAGCTCCGACCATACGTGGCATAAGGCTCAGCATGGGGTGCAAGCACGAGCCCCATGCCCTTTTTATTGTTTTTTGTTTGATCTGACAATGAGGGTTGTAAATAGGGTGTGGGTAATAGGGTAAACGGGTAGTGATATGGGTGATTAGAGGGGTGGGGTAAGGTGGTAGGGTATGGTAGCAGTGATGCCGGGGAAGGCACCACTACCATCCCCTTTTTTTATTTTTTTCTGTTCTGTTCTATTTTTTAATAATTAATTGATTTTTAATTTTAATTAAACCAATTTTATTATTATTATTATTAAAATCATTATTGTTATATATATAAAAAAAATATACTGGACAAAATCGGTGTCTACAGCTACCCCTCTTTGCACATTACTGAGAATCGGGAATATGGTAAAGACAAAGTCAACGATTTTGTCCGGAAGCAAATCATGGATTTCTCAAAAGTTTTTTTTTTGTTTTTATCTTTTTTGGATGAATTTTTTAACCACAGTTTGAGTGATAAAGAAAATGACCAAGATGACATCGCGAGTTGAAAAATAAGGAATCAATTAAGGCAACATCACAAGTCGAATAATAAAGAAAATGATCGGGGCAACACTGTGGATAAAGGAATAACAAGATCAGGATTGAACTTAGATTGAATCATAAGTCAAAATATAAAGAGATGAGGATTAAACCACGAGTCAGAAAAAAATAACAATCGAGATTAAACTGTAATTTTGGATTAAAAAATTGAGATTGAACCACGAGTCAGAATAACGTCAACTTGGATTGAATCACAAGTCAAAAAATAAAGAGATCGGGATTAAACCACTAGCCAAAAAATAACAACAATCGAGATTAACCTACGATTTTGGATTAAAAAAATCGAGATTAAACTGCGAGTCAAAATATAAAGAGATTGGGATTAGACCGTAAATTAGAAAATAAGGAGATTGGGATTAAACCGCAATTCAAAAACTATAAAAATGATCAGGATTAAACCACAAGTTAAAGATTAAAGATAACTGGGACTAAATCGTAAGTTAGAGAAATAAAAGTGACTAGGATTAAACCGTAAGTCGAGAAGCTATAAGAATGACTGGGATTAAACCACGAGTCAAAGATTAAAAATAACTGGGACTGAACCATAAGTCAAAAAAATAAAAGCGACTAGGATTAAACCGTAAGTCGAGAAGTTATAAAAATGATCGGGATTAAACCATGAGTCAAAGATTAATGATGATCGGGACTAAACCATAAGTCAAGAAAATAAAAGTAACCATAACTGAGCTATGATTTGAGAAATAAAGGATTCGGTACTCCATAAATCGACAGTTTGGTTTTAAGAATTATCTTGGAGGTAACATATTACCTTTAAGGCCATCATATTTGTTTTGAAAAAGAGGACTTCTTCCTGATGTTTCATAAAGAAACCTTTTATGCAACTTACCAAGAGGTATGCGATGCATGTAATAATTGTGATGATCGAAAGGATAAAGATGCAACCAATGAATTATATCATGTGTTTTCATCCAAGTTAATTCAACTTTTGGTTCGATTCTTTCAATCTTTAAAAGTCGTTTCCAATAGTCCTGCCCTTTTAAGTCATTTGATTCTCCTCCAAAAATCTCATCTTTTAGTAGACCCATTTGGCTTTTAATTGTTCTAAAAATCTTTTTTAAATTCTTTCTTTATCTCCTCTCTTTTTTTGTCATCAGTGATCAATCAATCTCATTTCATTCTTTCTAATCCCATATTATCATTTCTGTCATCCTTATATTGCATTCTCTTTTTGAGTGATGCATTGGTCCATTATGAACTTTATCAATCATTATCTTAATTTTAAATGACAAATGCAATGATTTTTTATTTAAAATTGGGTGTGAAACGCGGTCATTAATGAGGTATTTTAGGTTTAGAACGATAAAGATAAGCCTTTCAGGACATAAAGAGCAGTTAACCTAAAAGTATTTCAAGAACCAAATTATCAATTCTCTAGATAATGAACATTTGAATGAACTTACCCTACTCAAATCAGGTCTTCTTCCAAAACTCGTTACTTTTACGATCTTATCATGTGTGATTTCATATGACCAATCCTTGCCCCATATCTGTGACTAATGGGAACTAGCCCCCTAAAAGTCATCTCCTTTAATTCTGGCAAGAATTTATCCATTTGGTGCCACTCTTTCATTCTTTGGAAGACCTTCTCAAGCTTCACTTTCATTCGGGTCACCTTTTCAGGTTTTCAGCTTAAATGACACCTTTTGATTCAAATTGCCTTTTTCGAATTTTCAATCGAAATTGCTTCCTTTTTTTTGTCCATTTTTTCTCTCTTTTTTTGTATTTTTTTTCTTTTTTTTTTAAGTAAAATATTTCTTGACAATGTTCGAATTTACAAGATTTGGCAATTCATCACCGTCAATTTCTATAAGGATCAGAGCTTTACCAGGAAAGGCATTTTTTACCACATAT